AGTCCTATCGGTCAATCTCTAGTGCGCAAGGGGTCAAATTCTTTGAAAACCACATTGTCCACAGATTCGGTATACCCGAAATTATCACGGTCGATAACGGCCCGGTCTTCGCTTCGACCGAAACCCAGGAGTACGTCAAGAGAATGGGAATCAAATTGGTTCACTCAACGCCTTACTACCCCCAGTCTAACGGACAGGCCGAGGCAAGCAATAAGGTGATCAAGGGCATCCTTGAAAAAATGATTAAAGAAAAACCTAGGGCTTGGCACGACTTACTCCCTGAAACTCTCTGGGCATACCGAACCTCAAAGCGCTCGGCTACCGGCACGTCTCCCTACGCCTTAACCTACGGCCATGACGCTATCGTTCCAATGGAATTAAAGGTTCGGTCTCTTCGTGTTACCAAGCGGACTATGCAAGATAAGAAGGACTATGCACAAGCCATGGCACAAGAATCGGAAAATCTAGAACAAGCAAGACTTGACGCGTATAATCTGATGCAAGCTCATAAACAGATTGCGGCAAGGGCGTACAACAAGAGAGTCAAGCAAAGGACTTTTGCCGAAGGCGACTTGGTTTGGAGCGCCGCACTTCCTATTGGGACTAAAGACCCGTGGTTCGGCAAATTTTCGCCGAATTGGGAAAGGCCATTTATTATTGAACGAATTCTTGGCCGGGGTGCGTTTCAGTTAAAGGATGGGGATGGAGAACGTCACAACTTGCCGATTAACGGCCAATACTTAAAGAAATACGCCCCATCGTTATGGGAGATGGCCAAGGTTGAAGTGTGAGGGTCGCAGTAAGCGAACGAATTGGATAACAGTTCGATGAAACTAAAAGGAATTGAAAGGAGGTAAGTACATTTAATCATTCAAAGAAAGAGATATTTACTTCTTTTAAATCAAAAAAGAAAAAAGAAAAAAGAAAAAGAGAGAGGTTCGTATCTACAAGGAACGGCCAATTATGGCCGATTAAAAATATACATGAATATATATCATAGTCTATGTACAGGCGCCTAAATCCCCTCACTAAACATCCCCCAGATCAGGCAGGTGATCCTCCTCTAGGCAATGTCCCCGCTGTCCATGTCCGCCAGCCACCTCCCCCTAATCAGCTTTCTCTCGGCCAACGCTTTCTTCTTCTCGGCCGCCGCCTTGAGGAGCTGCTTCGCCGAAGACTTCAGCTCGGTGCTGGCCGCAACCTCACAGTCTCGGCGCTTGAGGATGAGTTCTCGACGGGCCTGAAGCTCTGCAATCTGGGCCTCAACCTGCGCGAGCTCTTTGTTTTCTCTCTTAACGATGAGGTCATTTTCCTTCAGTTGAGCCATGGCATGTTGGGCTTCTTGTTTTATCGCTGCCCTCAGCCAAGCGAACTTGCAACTCGTCCAATTGAGCCGAGTCCAGCAGACCAAGGGCCATGGCCGTATCCAGGCTAGACCTGAACTCCGCAAATTCGACATTGGTCATATCATTGACCCCCATGTGCAGAAAGTCCCAAAGCCGTTCAACGGCGGCCCTGGAATACTCGTCCAAGGGGGCAACCGAGGCTGAGCTACATCCTTCCTCATGGAGGCTGGCGTACAGTTCAGTGAGATCGTCTGAGGAAGTAGACTCCTGAAAAGAGTGGGAAAAAGTTAAGTATGAAACAACAAAGTAAGAAAGAAGCGAGAGGCACTCAAAGAATACTCACCTCAGTGGCCAGCGGTACAACGGAGGCCTCGACGACCGCGAGCTCGGTCACGACGACTGAAGCGGTCGGTGCACTCGATGCAATGGCCGTAGACAAAGGCAAGGATGGTTTGGGGGGCTGAGGGCGAAAGTTCATTAGTTAGAGACGTGCAGAGAACCCTAAAAAGATACTAGCATGTTGTGACAAGGACAAACACTTACCGAGCAGATCACAATGCCACTAGGGCGACGGGGGACGACTGGGGATGGCTCAACTGGGGACGTGGCAGCCAACAAGGGCACGGTCGTTACGACCAATGAAGACACCGCCAAGGCAACTGGCGATGGCTCCACAGCAGCTGCCTCAGCGTCTGGTGCCTCTGCAGCAACGGCCTCGGCGTTCGATGCCTCCGCGGCAACGACCTTAGCGTCTGGCGCCTCTGCGATGGCTGATTCGATGACTGCCACCTCGTCCTGAGAGTAGAACCAGATTATCAGTATGTTAAAGGGGATGCAGCCTGAAGCAAGTAAAAAGAAACAAAAAGATACACTTACGGTCGCAGGAGGGACTTCTTCCTCATCCTCGCCCTCTGAGAGAACAAGGAGGAGCCTTTTTCTCTGCGGCTCTGGTACCTCCTTTTCGGTCGCGGCACTTTCGGCTTGCATGGCCCGCCTGCTACGGCCTCAGTACCCACAACCTCTCTGCCCCTCTTACGACCTTGAGCTATAAAAATAAACAGAGTCATGTATGGATCAGAGATATCAAAAAGAGCGCAAAAGGGCAAGTGCTTACTAGCAGCAACGCTTGGTCGAGCCGGCGAGGGAGATGACACGATCCTAAGCCCCAGGGTCCTTCGCATTGCCACCATAGCCGTCGCCCTGGAGGTTGGGACTGTGGTCATGTTTGTGCCTGATAAATCACGGCCATAAGATGGCCGAAGGAGCCCCTTCTCTCGGCCCTGGCACTTGTTCGTAAAAACTGAAACGCAGCGTTTCGCCAGGGTACTTCGCCTTCCTAAAGATAAAAGAAGAAATGCTAAGGCATGGTCATCTCGGCCTCAAGCGCAGGCCGAGGCCGAGGCCGAACAAAATCGCGGTCAAGGCATTAAAGGCAAATCATCACGTGACAGCAGGGTCCCAGGCTTCATTTAATGAAGTAGTGCCTGTTTAATGCAGCAAACCCAT